TTTGAAGTGTAGCACCGATCGTAGCGCAGTCTAAAAGCATCACCATCTTGTCAGATAGCTTTATTAGCTTAATAATAATATTATTATTATATTGGCCAATTATATCAATATTTAGTAAATGATCAGCATCTTTGACACCCTGATTGATATTATGTTGAATACATAATTTCAGGAAGAACAACAAACAAAAACATTGCGATTACATTATGACCACCTTGGTCATATAAAGTTGAATACGACCCAAAATGGCCAACACTGCTCTCAATACTCCGATACAAAAAAATTGCGTAAGGAAGTGGAAAACCGAAAAATATCAGGCGATTCTTGGCATTGATGATCAGTTATTATGTTATATCTGAAGTTGAAATTAAGCCTAAAACTAGATTTTTATGCATCAATTCTCAAAATTAGTACGTACATATTTAAGTTCGGTAGTTACTTCCGGTACGTTACGACAATGTTCACTAATTCAATATTACCAAAAAGAATTTTCGTTTTCTATTCCTTATTTGACATTTATACAATTGATAACCTTTTTTATCAAATACAACATAAGCTTTGTTCAGCAGCACTGTATAATAATAAATTTGGAGAGTGTACTATAATAATATAGTAAGGCAGAAAATCTTTATTACCTTTATTGATTTAGTCACCATACTGCAGACTAGAAATAAGTACATTCTAAATAACTATATTAAGCGGATATTACGTATATTATATCCTATGTAGTTGGATATAACTATTACGTACACCCTCCAAATTTATTTATACAATAGCGTACTGCTGAAAAAAGTCATAAACACAATTATTAATAAATTATTATTCATTCCGTGTCCGCAGACTTGATTTACCGAATATATTTTATATAATAATTTATATTTGCATTATAATTTATTTATAAAATAGATTGAATTAGTAAGATTTCAATAGCTTATATCATATGGTTTTTACTTGTGACGCGTTTTTCTTTGTTTAAATAAACCAATCGAGAAACTACATTGTTTCATATTCTTGATTTAATACTCACGTGAATGACTTAATTGACACGGAATATGACCGTTTAATTAATGGATAAAGTATGATTTTAAACTCATAATGCCTTTTTTCTTTTTTTAAAATACAATATAACCATATAATCATCCAAACTGCATATTCCGATTTTTCTAGAACGCCGGATTTTGTTTTTTTTTGTATTTATTATTAGTTAATTTATGGAACCGTATTTTATAGTAGCAGGTTGATAATTATTACGTAGTAATTTATTTATAAAATAGATTGAAATTAACAAAAGGTATAAGTAGTTTATGGCCTATACTCAAATAGACAATACCTGCTGCAATATATTGTCTTTCGTATATAAAAAGAGCGTTTTGCCTCGAGAAAAAAAATCAAATCAAAAGCAAAATCAAAAATAAAAATAAAAAATAAAAAAACATTTATTTTTCTTCGTAGAGCATTCACACTAAAACCTAATCCAAAATGAATAACGAAGAAATGAATAATAACAACCTAACACTTGAAGATGCCATAAAATATGTTATTATACACGTTTGTACTCAGATGAATCTTAACGAGAATGAGAGTGAAGATATCATCCGGCATATTTCAAATGGTCTCTCAAACCAAGAACGTGACTTTTTTAGACAAAAAAAAACAAAAACTATATGTATAGAGAAAAAAGTACTTATTAATTAGAAATAAGATGTGCCGTGAAA